CTCACCTCTGAGCCACCGTGCCGCCCTCATCGCTGAGCCACCGTGCCACCCTCACCTCTGAGCCACCGTGCAGCCCTCACCTCTGAACCACCGTGCAGCCCTCACCTCTGAGCCACCATGCCGCCCTCACCTCTGAGCCACCGTGCCGCCCTCACCTCTGAGCCACCGTGCCGCCCTCATCGCTGAGCCACCGTGCCACCCTCACCTCTGAACCACCGTGCAGCCCTCACCTCTGAGCCACCGTGCCGCCCTCACCTCTGAACCACCGTGCCACTCTCATCACCATCTGTTTTTAACTTCTGATGACTTTACGTTGTTGTGGCGTCTCTTCGGCGACGTCACCTTCTTGTGTTGACAGCAGCTCAGGTGAAGCTGATGGGAGTGGCTTGATCGAAGTGTTTGTGTGTTTGTGTGCAGGTCAGGATGTCCAGAGAACAGGTGAGCGTCTCTGAGCTCCTCCTCTCATTGGACAGCTCGGAGCTGCAGGAGGCGGAGCGAGTGAGAGCCGCCGTTAACCAGCAGCTGAGTACAGGTATGTTCACCTGTGGCATGTTTCTCCACCCTCCTCCTCCTCCGTCTGACCTGTAGTTCTGCCCGCAGACAGAGGAGGCGCTGTCCTCTCCTCTCTGGTGGAGTATTACCTGGACTCCTCCTCCTCGCAGGCGGCGCTCCTCCTCTCCTCCATCCGGGAGCCTCATCACAAGGTGAGCAGCGCGTCCTCTGACAGGTGTTGCTGCGTCTGCGGTGATAAAACGTGTTGGCTCCTCCCCTTAAGGCGCTGCTGGAGAAGCTGAACGAGTCCCTGAACCGAGCCGGAACCAGACTGGCTGCCGTCACCCTGCTGGGTCACCTGATCCGGAAGCAGCCGCCCTGGGTCCATCACATCAGCCAGTCGGCGCTGCTGTCGTCACTGCTGCGCTGCCTCAAGGTTCACACACACGTTCACTGGGTTACGAGATATTTTACTAACAGACAAACTGATACTCTGGAGGGCGTACATTCAGAGAAGGTCCGCTTGTTTACGGTCTCCTTCTGTGCAATGAGACAAAAGTAACGGAAGATCTGAACCAAACCAAAGTTTGTCTTTGGGTCCGTTTTATGAAATCATCTTTAATAAATGCAGCTTTTTTCTGTTCAGTCGTTTGTGATGATGTTTGTTGAGTTAACCATCAGGATTCATAAAGTTCTCAGACTTTTGATCTATAAGGTCATCAAACACATTGGTCTTTAAACGCAGCGTTTTGTTCCGTATGGTCATTAAACGCACCGTCAGGGTGATCATCTGAAACAAACTGCCGGAGTTACTGCTTCAGTAAAAACGATGTCTTCTGCTCGTTTCATGCATTAAAGGAAAATGTTGTGCGTTTGTTTCTCAGACAGATGGTGACGTTGTGGTCCTCGTCACTGGAGTGCTGGTCCTCATCACTCTGTTACCCATGATCCCTCAGGCTGGAAAACAACACATCTATGACTTCTTTGATGTGTTTGGGCGCCTCGCCTCCTGGAGCTTCAAAAACCCTGGTAACGCTCCTCCTGCAGGGAGCGCAGAGCTCGGTCCTTCCTGAAGGTAAACTGTGTTCTGACTGGCAGTCGTGGTCTCCTGCAGGTCACGTGTCCGTGGTGTTGCTGGTCCACCTGCACGCCGGTGTGTACTCTCTGTTCCACCGTCTCTACGGGATGTTCCCCTGCAACTTCATCTCCTACCTGAGGCTGCACTACAGCATGAAGGAGAACCTGGACATCTTCCAGGAGGTCGTCAAGGTCAGCACAGACCAGTTCAGACCAGTTCAGACCAGATTAGTCCAGTTCAGACCAGATTAGACCAGTTCAGATCAGATTAGACCAGTTCACACCAGTTCAGACCAAGTTAATGACCTGATAACTGATCATCATATTGATTTATTGTGTCTGACAGAAACTTGGCTACATCAGGAGGATTGTGTTGATATAAATGAATCCACTCCTGTTAATTATTTCAATGTTCATGTTCCTACAACAACTGGTCGAGGTGGAGCTTCTATTTTTCAGGCAGGATTATTAATTAATACTAAATTAATTAGTAGTTATAATACTTTTGAGTCGCTGTCTCCAAGTCTGTCCATCCTAAATGGAAAACGTCCACCAAGGATCCAAGGTTCTTTATTGTCATTCACACCGCATGTGGTACATGAGGTGGAACGAAACTGTGTCCGCAGGGTCCCAGTTCCTCCAACAAAAGTATAAAATGTAAAATAAAAACAGTCATAAGATCTAAGATATGAACTAAGAAATACACTAAACTAAGAATACACTAAGCACTAATGGTACAAAAACATTAAAAACATTACACCGAACAGCAGCACGAACATGAGTCTGTGTGAGCAGATGAGCATGAAAGAACACCGCAGCATGAAATAGATCAGCAGCATGAGATCAGCAGCATGGATAGTCAGCAGCACATATCAACAATCAAGTAGTATCACAGTGATTTTTCACAGTGATAATCCTGACTAGGATACCTGGATTATTGAGCATGGACTTTGTTGGTTTTGAACCAGTTTGACATGACAGTCGACGAGGGAGAGGGCAGGCACCGGAGGAGGGGGCGTGTCAAAGAGACCATGTTAGCACCAACATAACTGGTTTGTTCCACTTTGGAGTAAGCTGTTGGGGGAAGAATCAGTTTTGTGTTGTGTGTTTCCTTTACTGATGAAGCCTTCTGGATGGAAGGTGAAACGTTTCAGCACAAAAAAAAAAAACTGTCCAGATGACCTGACTGAAAATTTTTGGATTGTATACCTGGATTATTGAGCATGGACTTTGTTGGTTAATCCTGACTAGATATTCATGAGTCTAACAGCCTCAGGGTAGAAGCTGTTCCTCAGTCTAGTGGTTCTACACTTAATGCTCCTCAACCTCCTTCCTGAGGGGAGTGGGGCAAAAAGTGTGTGCTGGGTGAGTGTGGTCCTTCATGATGCAGGTGGCCCTCTTCCTGCATCTGGAGGTGTAGATGTCTGTGATGGTGGGGAGGCTGACTCCAACATCTTCTGTGCAGCCTTCACCACTCTCTGCAAAGCTTTTCTTTCTGCAGCTGTGCAGCCTCCATGCCACACGTTGATGCTGGAGCACAGGATGCTCTCCACTGCACACCTGTAGAAGGAGGTGAGGACTGAGCTTCCAGACCAGCTCGTCTCAGCCGTCTGAGGAAGTAGAGTCTCTGATGATCTTTCTTCATCAGGCTGGTGGTGTTGTTGCTCCAGCTGAGGTTGTTGTTCAGGTGCACACCCAAGTACTTGTAGCTGGAGACCACTTCCACTGCAGATCCTCTTATGTTCAGGGGGTGTAGGTGTTTTTGTTCCTTCTGAAGTCCACAGTCATCTCCTTCATCTTCTTCACATTGATGTGAAGGTTGTTCTCTTTGCACCAGCTCTCCAGATGTTCCACCTCCTGCCTGTAGCTGGACTCATCATTGTTTGTGATGCATCCCACCACCGCTGTATCATCTGCAACCTTTACAATGTGACAGCCTGGATGGGTAGCTGCACAATCATACGTGAGCAGAGTGAACAGGAGGGGGCTCAACACACATCCCTGAGGTGAGCCAGTGCTGAGGGTTATGGTGGAGGAGGAGAAGTTGTGGATCCTCACTAACTGTGGTCTGTTTGTTAAGAAGTCTAGTACCCAGTTGCAAATGGAGGAGCTTAGTGTGAACAGTTTGTCCATCAGGGTTTGGGGGATCATGGTGTTGAAGGCAGATGTGAAGTCCACAAAGAGCATACGGACATAGGAGTCATTCTGCTCCAGGTGGAAGAGAGCAGTGTGGACCACAGAGGAGATTGTGTCCTCTGTTGATCTGTTCTTGCAGTATGTGTACTGGTGAGGGTCCTATGCTCAGTTTTTGTCTGAATTATCAGAATTATTAACTGACTTATTATTAAATACTGATAAAGTCATAATAATGGGTGATTTCAATATTCATGTGGATGTTGAGAGTGACAGTTTAATCATAGCCTTTAATAATTTAATAGACTCATTTGGTTTTACCCAAAACGTCCGCACATCTACTCATTCTCATCATCACACTCTTGATTTAGTTCTGGCCTATGGTGTAGAGATTAAGGACTTGGTAATAGTTCCTCAAAATCCTGTTCTGTCCGACCATTTTTTAATAACTTTGAGTTTACATTAAATGACTACACAGTCACTGAGAGTAAATTTCATCTCAGCAGGTGCTTATCAGAAAATGCTGTAACCAAATTGAAACAATCTCTTCCATCAATGTTTCCTCAGTCTTGCAGAGTAATGCATCAGAGAACAGAGACTTAGATCATCTAGTTGATCATCTTACAACTTCAATGCAAACTTCACTTGATAAAATTGCTCCACTGAAAAAGAAAGTAATCAATCAGAGGAAACTGGCTCCTTGGTTCAATTCTGAGTTACGTACTTTAAAGCAGCATCTAGAAACCAGGAGAGAAAATGGCGCTCTACTAATGTTGAAGAATTTTATTTAACTTGGAAAGATATTCTGCTAACATATAAAAAAGCTCTCCGTAAAGCTAGAACTTTATATTACTCATCTTTAATAGAAGAGAATAAAAATAACCCAGGCTCTTTTTCGGTACCATAACTAGTCTAATGAAAAATCTGGTCGAAGCAGATGGTCCTCTTGTCCTGATCCTGGTTCTGCTAAAGGTTTCTTCCTCATGAGGGAGTTTTTCTTTCCACTGTCGCCTTCATGCTTGTTCAAGATGAGAGTTCAGTGATGGAGTTAAACTCAAAGCAGTCTGCTGCTTCTTTAGATAGAGAACTTTACTAATTGTATTTTCTATGTATGTGAATGTTCCTGTAAAATGTCTTGAGACAACTTTTGTTGTGATTTGGTGCTTTATAAATAAACTGGATTGAACCTCATGTTGGTTCTGATACGTGTTCTTGTGTCTTTTAGCCGATTCTGGAACATGTACGGGTTCACCCGGAGCTAGTTACAGGGACCCAGGACACTGAACTGGACCCATCCAGGTAAGTCCACAAGCCCAGAACCAGACCTGAACCCAGAACCAGACCTGAACCCAGAACCAGACCTGAACCTAGAACCAGACCTGAACCTAGAACCAGACCTGAACCCAGAACCAGACCTGAACCTAGAACCAGACCTGAGCCTAGAACCAGACCTGAACCCAGAACCAGACCTGA